TTCTGGATAAAATCTGTGTCACTTTTTGGTTTGACAGCACGTTAACACCATCTCCTCTCTCTCTCTCTGTTTAATTATGGTGGAGCCACAGCTGGACACATTGACAAATGGTAGATTTTTTTCAACACAATAAAAATGAAAACAGAAGCACATCTAGCTTCTCGCTTTTCACCCCAGGATTTTTTAATTTTCAATTATGCAGTGACATTTACCAATGTGGGTGTTTATGCTCTTTCCTGACAAGATATCAGATGTGCTAGGGGTGAAGAAATCTTCTCTATCTTTTTAATTAAAGTTGTCTTACTTTTTATTGTTCTTATTTTAGCAATGACGAGCTCCCTGTGTGCCATCTTCACCCTATTGTGAGCACTGTGGTTCATACAGAATAAGCCTCTTTAATTGCACGACCCCTTGTCTGAAAAATTATAGTAAAGGCCAGGACTGCTATCTAGAATATTAATCACTCTACTTCCTCTATCATGCTGTTTTACTCCATTGCATGCCATTCTTTTGAATCAGCTCTGTGGGTCACATCATAGACTGTAGTAGGGGAAATTCAACTTTTATGTTGGACCCAAATTTAACTTATTTTGTTTCAATTTTAAGATGTATAGTTCTAACTGTAAGCAAATCAGATTATTTATTTATTGGGGGAAATTGTGGGGGAAAAGTCCCAATAACACACAATACATGCAATACAAACAAATACCAGTGAGGGCCACATTTGAATGAAATTAAACTGGGAGGCAATATGAATAAAATTTCCTTCCAAGGAAAAAAAGGGGACTGAGGCAAAGCAGTCTGATCTGCAGCCGTTAACAGTGCAAACAAACGTTTCAACAGCACTGTGTCTTTATCATAGTCAAAGTGGACAAAGAGATGATGCAAACACAAATTTAGTCAACCTGGAACAGATGTCTATTGGATAGAGGATGGGGATAAATCCAATATGCCTATAGGGAAGTAGATTATGCACAGGCTGACCATGGTTCTGCAGCATTATTTAAGTTCTGGGAAATAGAAAAAAATTCAGTGTAGTAAATTTCCTGGGGAAAAAATCAATTGAGAAACAGTTTATTTATCATTTATCATTGCAAATCCAGCAAATTAAATGTCTAACACGTCAAGATACTTTATTACATTGATGCAAAAATCGTATAAAAAGTCAATTAAGCCAAGCAGTGCTGCTCATTGATTTGCAACATTCCCTACAATGTCCTCTATAACCAGAAATATTAAAGGGAGACCTTGATATAAACTGTATGACAAAATCTCTGACCGTTATCTAATTCATATCATCATACAGGATATATCGTCATATCATCCAGCCCTGAGGGACTGTGGTAAGGTAAAGGGGGTCACAAAACAAATACACACAGAACTCAGGAGGAGGAAAAGCCTGGACATCTCCTCCCATGGAACACCTTGAATATATAAATCAGCACCTCGAAGAAAAAAAAAAGATCTCTCTGACTAAATGCACTTTATGAACAAAAATTTTTTATGAATGTTTTGCAATTTGAAAATGTTATGCACTTTATAAATAATTTGCACTTTACAATATATTTTGCACTCTTTTGCACATTATCACTGTATATT